AGTTTAACCTTTCAGCCACCTGCATTAGCTGAGTGGAAAGTAGCAAGAGGAAATAGACAGCTTCCCTTTTATGAAGAAAGCGTAACAGAAAGTGCTAAATATTTTTGACTGCCATAGGAAAATACAAACAGATTTTACAGATGCTTCTTCTAATTTAGGCAAAAAAGAAAACCACACCAACCAAGCCCAAAAAAACCCATTTGCACCTCCTCTTAGAGGATGCAAATGGCAGTCGGCCACCCATTCCCTACCCACAACCAACATGAATCTGTCTCCTCCTCAGCAGGAGCAAAGTGAGAAAAGTGTGCGAGCTCAGTCCTCCTGCCTGGAAATCACAGCCCATCTCACTGCTGTCAAAGGCAGGGAAGGCTTGCCAGCACCAGTTGGATCTCCAAACTATAAATCGTAAAAAAGCTCTTTCCTGCCTTCCCTCAGCAATGCAATAGCTGCTTTGCAACCAGCTGCAGAAGGGTAAAGGATAAAAACCACCAGAAACTGTTTAAGCAGCTAAATCTGTTATGTAACCAAAACTAAAAAGCAGGAGCGGGTTAGTGGCCACATCTACATTAACAACTCAGAAGTAGAATTTTTGGGATAGATTTTTCCCCTTATTCCCCCCAACCCCCATGGAAAGAGCAATATCAACAGGGCTGTATCCATATTCCACAGAGAGGGACATCACAGAGACAACAACACTGGTGTGCATGCACATTTGTACATTCAAGGGTATATACACTTTTACAGTACTTTATAGAAAGGAAAACCTGACCACTAATAGATAGAAAAAAATACCAGAAATGGGTGGAGAGGGGAGGATGTAGCAGTCCTCACAAATTCTTGAACTCCACCTGTGCTACCTAATCATTTTTAAATTATTAAAATGTAGGTTTTTTTTTCTTTAAGACTGGTGGGTTTCCTCATCTTAATGTTCTTGTTACTACAAAGACTAAAAAAAACAAACAGACAAAAAAAAAACCCCAAAACACAAAACAATCAAAGAAAAACTACAAACAAACCTCTTCAGGAAGGACAGAAATTTTTGGTTTTTCTGATTTGATAAAATCTCTCCTGTTGAAGCCCACTTACAAAAATAGTAATAAAAAGCTCAATACAGCAGTTAACCAACTGAGGAGTACCAGCCAACTTTGCTGTTACTAAAACAAATCTTGTATGACAGACTGTCGGGAGTATTTGAATTTTCTTTCAAGACAACACATTTTGCCATTCCTATGACATGTCCATTTTCTTGTTCTTTTTAAAAAAGGCACTTGACTCTTGCATAGTATCTTTCATCTGACACATTAACAAGAGGACTCTACTGATCACTAGACTCTCCTGGATACAACATAGGAGCCAATCAGAGGTGTAGGCATCTAAAATTATTTGATAGTTTTGAAAGTTGAGGCTACCCAGCAAGCTTCTCTGCAGCAGCAACAATAAAACACCATTATTACCACTGCAGCACAGATAGGGTCCTCTATAGGCCTGCAACAGCTCTGTTCAGCTTCCCCATCCTTGAGCTGAGCTTCAGCTGCTGAGCTCTCCTCCATCCAGCACTGCTACAGCTTGTGAGAGAGAAAGCAAGCACTCAGTCTGAGAAGTAAGCCCCACAGAGACACTGGTGCCCTCATTCAGGCTGAAAATAAGCTTACTTTATCAGGGGGTGGGGGGACTGCCTGTTTAGTTTTATTTTTTGCCTCTTCCAAAGGCATCACTATTCATTAAAGTCACATTTAAGATCAGACAACCAAAGCCCTTGGGATCACTGACTAAAGAGAAGCAGAAAATGTTGATATATATATATGCCCCAAACAGTCATCACTTCAAGGACCTCCTCAAATCTTTCCATAAAACTGAGAGCCAACTGAGACAAAATACAGTTCTGTTGGCAGAACCACGAGCCAAGCTAGTAAGCAAGACTACTGGTTATTTGTGAGTGAAGAAATCATAGATGTCAGTACTGTGGGTATACCAGTCATCCAGGCTCATGGTGGAAAAGGGCATTTCAAATAACTGTAGTTAATAACACTCTGCTATCTCCAAGTAGTCAAATTAATTTGAAAAAGACAGATAAAGATTCAACAGTCTTCATTTCTTCCTGCAAGAAACAAAATTACCTGTCAAATTGTCCACCTCATTTTACCTTACTTGTTAAACTGTTCAACTGCAATTAAGTCATGAGCAAAACACAGGACATCTTTAGCTTTTCTCCCCTAATAATGTCTTCTCAGAGCAGAGCTTTCTGGGTCTTGAGGCTGGAGATTTTTCTTCCACCATGGTCTTTGTGGTTGCAGTGAAAAAACCCTCGTCACACAAGAAAACTCAAAATTAATTCCCTTCTCCCACCATCACACTGCTCTGGATTTAGTAATTTACTGTTTCTGTAATTAGTGCATCTCAAGCTTGTTTAGAATAAGGAGAGGCATTTTAGCACCAAGAGCCAGCAATTTCTTATGTGTAAATCCTGCTTTGATGGTGATGCCTTTAGTCACCTTCATGAAAACACCCACCAGCACATCTCCCTGCCCGTCAAGCCCCTCTTCTGCATCTTCTGCCTTTACATCAGGAACAGCAAACCCTCAGTTCCCCGTGGGAGAGGCTGCCACAGCCAGCTGCTGACTAGACTTCAGTCTGAAACTACGAACACACACACTCCCCACACCCAAACTCACACCAACCATGAACTTGATGTATACTTAATTGCGAAGTTCATTCCTTTCATCAATATAACCATTAATAGTGGTTTTACGACACACGAATATTTTACAAGTATTTTGGGTAATCTACCCAGGGAAAACATAGTTGGAATCAGTAACTACTGCATAGTGCTCTGACAGACTAAATGGGTTCCTCCCCACAGCACCTGGGTAACAGCCAGGGCCTTTTGCAAAATGATGAATGAAAACCATATTTCTCAGCTCTGTTCAGTAATTACTAAGATCATGTTGGAGTTGCAAACAGATTTAAAACAATTGCAACAATGTTATTCCAGATAATATCCAGTGCAGAACTTTGTCCAGAAGACATCAAAAGTTTCATGCACCAAAAATCTTCAAAGCAACCAGATGTCTCCAGTTAAGTTTTTTAAACCCCCAGCACCCCGTTTCTGGGCATGTAGAATACAGCCTTATTTACACAGCATCTCATTTTAATAGGCAACTTAAGAACTTCCAAGAAAGAAAATAAAATCCACAAAACCAGATGGCAAAACAAACATTCTAGATTAAAAGAAAAAAAAGGGGGGGAAAACCCACAATTAAAACCAGTACAAAAGCTTAAATAACAGCAACACTGGCTAGACCCAATGAGGATTTATGCAAATTACTTTTTTCAGGCACAAATGATCTTTTTCAGCAGAATACACGTTAAGAGAGCAGAGACATCTAATCAAAGGGATCCTGGAGGGGTGAAACCTTTCAGTGTCTCAGATGAACACAACCCCTCGGGGAAATGGTGGTGTTTGTTTCATTTAATCGACATTTTGCTATTCCTGCTTTCTGAAGAGCTGCTGTGGAGTCAAGAGCAATTGAGGGCCAGAACCAAGGCCAGGTTTACAGCCAGGGAAAAGAGATGCAAATCAATTAACCTGTAAAGAGTTATGCTTATTTACATTAAGCAGTGATTTTGATCTGAGTGTTTTAATGGGATGATGCTGGATGGCACAGTGGGCAACACACCAGAAATCATTCATCCACGTAGGTGGCATAAACATGTAGTAAACATCATTTTCATTAATTATATCCATTACCAAAATTAGTAACTACACAGCCAGCACACTGGTTTCCATATATGGAGTTTGGTGGCATGCCGTTTTTTAAAAAAAATTAATTAATGTCCTGTCTAAACTGCTCTGTCACAGAGGCAACACAGCTCTTTCACCTCTCAGACACTTTCAGCTACATTGCCTCTGGGCTTCACGAAGGTAGAGATGTGCCTAAGACAACAAGCCCACGGGTGTTTCCGAAGTCACCCCGGCACGCTGCCACCGCACGTGTCCCGGCGATGACTCCAGCACGCTGCCGAGCCTGCCACCGGGAGCCGCACATGGCTCGGGGGGGTGCTGCTGCCCCCCTGACCGTCCCCAGCCCGAAGGTTAAACCACAGACCAAGAGAAAACAGCACTCCCCCAGAAAACATCTGCCTATCCGCCCGCTGACAAAATAAATAAATAAATGCTGCTTTCCCAACCCCCTCATCCACTGTCATGCCAACCCACGGGAGGGAGGTTTAAACTAGGCGATCTTTAAGGTGTCTTCCAATCCAAACTATTCCATGCGTCTGGAACTGCCTAGCGCAAATCCCCCCTGCAATTAATGAAAGCTCCTAGTTCACTGTTGGTTTGGTTGTTGTAAGTACGAAAGCTCCGCTATCCAGGTTTTCCCAGAAGTTTAACCACGCTGCACGGTGCCGCCCGGCTCCTCGTTAGCTGACGCCGCTGCCTCTACCTACCTCGCAATGGACAGTCTGCCCACGAAATGAAAATAAGAGAATAATGAAAATAAGAGATGCGCCTTCCGTCTAACCCTTACTGACTGGCGCAGGCTTTGCGTCCCCTGGACAGTCTGCCACTCTGCTGGGAATGGGCAGCTTCCAGCAGCTTGTGCCCCTGCGTATAGGTCCCGTGTTACTCTGCTCCATCACACCGCGGATAATCTTCCTCTGCTCCAGCAGTAAGACCGCGGACACCCGGCGAGCCCGGCCGCCGCGAACGCCCGTGACCACCGCACCCTCAGCCGCGCCGGGGCTCGCCCAGCCCGGCCCCGCGGCTCCCCCGCACTCCTGACCGCGCACTGCCCGCGGAGCCGAGGCCGTTCCGGCGAAGACATTAACCCAAAATAAATCACCTCCCGCGCACGCCCCCCGCCTAGGCGCGGGCTGCAGCTCCCCTCCGCCAGCCGCGCAGTTCCAGGTCGCGACCGATGGCGGACCCCGCGGGGTGAACGCGGGGCTGCCGCAGCCGCCGCCGAGCAGGGCAGCGCTCCCCCCACGGCCCACCTCACCTCCCACAGCAGCGAGAGCAGCAGCGCGACCCCAGGCTGGAAGCGCTTCATCTCTCCTCCTCCTCCTTTCCCTCCTCCTCCCGCGGCGGCGGCGGGCTCGCCCCTCCGCCTCAGGCGCGCACGGGCGCTGCCGGCCGCGCCATCCCCGACGGCGGGGGAGCTCCGGGCGGCAGCCGCACCGCGGGCTCACGGCAGCCGGGGGAGGCGGCCGCGAGTAACCCGCACCGGGGGCAGCGGGACGAGGCGGGGTAGAGCGGCGCTGGGGCGGGGAGGAGGCGGGGAAGCCCCGCAGCAGGGCGAGGGCGGGCTGACCCGCTGATCCCCTCGGCGGCAGCGTCGGCGGCCGGAGCCGAGCGAAGCAGGGTCGGGGCGAGGCAAGGTGGAGACCGGCGGGTGCCGGGGCGGGCGGCACCAAGACACCGCCGCCGCCGAGGGCGGGCAGAGCCGAGCGGAGCGGAGCAGCGACGGCCTGCCCCGGCCCCGCCCCGCGCCGCTGCCCGGCCGGGAGGGGGCGGTGGCGGCGGATGCGTGAATCCGTGATCCCGCCTTTGCCTCCGCATCTGCCCTGCCCCGCATCTCCCCCTGCCGCCGCCACCGCCCCCGCACCTGCCCTCAGGGGACAGTACCGGGTTCCTTCCTCCTTGGAGCCGCGCGGTGCCGCGGGTCGCCCCTGACCACGACACCCCTTCCCCGGAAGAGCGATCTTCTGAAGTGAATTCAGAGGGGGCAACAAAAATGACCAGAGGGATAGATAATCTCTCATACGAACACTGAGAGTTGGAGCTCTTCAGCCCGGAGAACAGAAGCTTCTGAGGATACTTTAAAGCAGCCTTCTAGTACCTAAAGGAGAGTTATAAGAAATATAAGGATGGATTTTTTCACCTGTGGCGATAGACCAATGGGCAATGAATTGAAACTGAAGGAGAGTCGATTTAGGTTGGACATGCAAAAAATCGTTTGTAGTGAGCTTGGTGAGACACTGGAACCAGATGGCCCAAGAAGTTGTGGATGCCCTGTCTCTGGAAGGGTTCAAAGCTGGGCTGGATGAGGCTTTGAGTAACCTGGTATAGTGGAAGGTGTCCCTCCCCATGGAATAATCTTCGAGAGTCCTTTCCAACTCAAATCATTCTGTGGTTCTGTGATTCTATAAGGCGTTCCCTCTGCCAGCCTGGTGGGTGGGAACAGGAGCTGTGTGTCTAGCCGCCCTTGCCCATGCAGTACCCTTTGGCATTTCAGAGAAGAGTCATTTCCTCAGCATGCTTGGTAACAGCCCTGGGATATCTACCTGTAAAGGTCTCATGACAAATCCTAAACTGGAGTGGAGGTGCTCTCCAACTCCAGTACTGATCTCTCCAGCTGCAGGTGGCTGGTGTAGTTATGCCTTGGGTATTTCCTTCATCATGACCATCTTGTCCTGATGCTTTGAGCCTCCTTTTCCAAGCCTGTTGCACCCTTACCACAGCTGCACACTGTATGCAGTTGGAAGGAGGCACAGCTCTTTTCTGAGTTTAGGAGAATAAGAGGTCTCTTGCTCTTGCTTTGTAGGTAAGCTAGCAACTTAATTCTCAGGGGGAAATCAAAATAGATAAGGGGGAGAACTGCCCCATTTCCCTCTGAATGGCAGACCTTTCCCAGCAGCATTTCTGAAGGAGATACACCTCCCACTGTCCTTTTGTGGGTTACCTATTAAAAAACTACTAGCATATCCTCACAACTCACAACTCCTTTGTTCACCACTTCTCTGTTGTCATAGTATTCAAGCAGGAAACTTGCTGTCTCCTGATGCCACATTGCAGCAAAACATCATCAGCTGGTTACTTTTTCCATACAGTGAACTTTGGGTGAGTTTACAAGCATCTTCCAGCTGGCACCATTAATCATACATGCTCTCAGGCCCGGGTCATATGCTTTGAGTAAGGAGTAGCTGTATACAGGTTCCCGCACACTGTATGACATTGCGTGCTCAGAGGCAGCCTGCACAAGTTCTTCTTGAGGGCCACTCATTTTGATACTTATTTTTGTCTCTGTTTGATGCCAACCAATCTGAAGCTGTGTGATGACTTTTTCAGATGAATCCTTGCATCTCTACTTGAATTTGCTAGAAGGTCCCTAAGGAAATGTCATGTCCATTGCTTTGTCCAACAGTGAAGTCTGAATAAGGCAATTATACACGCAGGTGTCTATATAATCTGAGTTGAAATGTTACACTTTCTTACACCAGGCATATTAAGAAATACACATTCTGCACTGGGTATCACCTAAGAGGGATCAGCTTATATTGTCTTAACATAGGCATCAGTTCAAAAAGGCCCCAGTACATAGAAGTTTGAAAAGGATGGTTTTCAGAGCTCTGTCCTGATGTATGGCTAACCCTACACTCCCTTCTCATTCCTATTTTCTGTGTTCCATGACCTAGGAGACAACATTTTGGAGACACTCAATGACTCTTCATAGAGAAGATGAATAAGAGCATAAAGATGTTTAGGGACATCAAATGAATCTGGATGTCAGTGCTGAGCACGAGTGCTCTGTGCCACTGCTGTGTTTCCCAGCAAGGGTCCTCTGGCAGCCCAGAGACAGGCAGAAATCCTGACAGCACAAATTCTGGGAGAACTGAGAAAGTACTAAAGCATAAATAAAACCTAGGAAAGAAGTCTGGAGTCTTGCAGCCTAAGACACTACCACACTTGAAGGCTGACCCTGCCAAAATTTTCAGCTGATGGCCCACTGTCAAATATGCTCAGGCAAGAGCAAGCTCTAAAATACATTTCAGTTAATTTTTAACACATATCACTACTGACTTTAGCTTGAGAACTAAGAAAGTGTTAGAATTTTTTTTTTCTCGAAAAAAGATTTCAGCTAAGGCAAGAAAGGCTGAAATAATTAAAAGTTTTTAATCAATAGACAGATTAGCAAGAGTGAGATTGAAGCAGCAGTGGGCTGGAGGAAGCTATCCAGTGTGGAAGCATGTGCTTCCCAGTGCATAGTTTATTATCCAGCCTAGATAAAGGTATGGATATCCCGAGCTATAAAATTCTTTCCAGGCCAACATAAGCTGAAAAAAGAAAAACATCTCCTGACCTCAAAATAAACAGTTTCATGTTCTATTTCAACCATCACTTAGCTCCCCTTATTGATGTCTTCTTTCATTTATACCTAGCTTCAAGAAACCATCTTCATCCCCAGGGAAAGCCCATTAGCTTCAATGGAGTTAAAATACAAATGAACTTGGCTCAGCGTGTGGCATTTTCTCAACAGAAGTGCGAGTTGCAGCAGAGCCCCTTAGAGCTTGTCTAGGCGAGAAATTAACACTTTCTCTCCGCCGTGCTGCAGCTTGACACAACAGGGAAAGAAGATAACGCTTTTGTGGGAGGCAAGGTCCCTAGCTAAAACCAGCCCCTTCCTTCACATCCTGATTCTAGTTTCTTTTCAGTTACTGTGTTCAAAAAGCTTAAAACTCCAGAGCTTCCAGAATCTTTGTATAGAAACAAATATATATATATTTTAAAATGAAATGAAATAGTTACAGGAGCAGTGACAGTAACAAAGCTTTATTTTACCAGATTTAGGCTTGTACTGCAGCTGAAATATTAATAATATGCTGCTTCTCTCTGGATTCATAGGTGTTCCTCAATAATATTGCCATAATTCTCTCAGCAGAGTTTGCCAATATTATCATATTTCTTTTACTCAGCTACCTCTCTTTCCTGAAACATAAGAGCATACATTATTTTTGAGACTGCCACTCCTTGGTCAATTTCTCTTTTTCAAACTGAGTAACAGGTATAAAAATTCCTAGGGGGCACTCACAGCACATATAGATGTGTATATTTTGTAGACCTTATTTATTTTGAACAGTTGACTATTTTTAAATAAGTAAAAAATAAACTAGTTGTATTGAACACTTCATTGTTTCTGTAGAAACAATTGTGTTGTCTACTATTGAGAAATACTCAATTCCACAAGGGCTGTGTGTGAAGCTGCTAACCACTTTATTATGAACAAACAAATACATTCTTTTCATTTGCTTCCCTGCATGAACTGTAAATAATTATATACCTCTACAATTTTGTATTTAAAATATTTCACTACCTTCTTCACAGGTGCTGTTAAAAATTAGCCAAATCCTTAATTGTTTTCCCAACTCTCTATTTTAAGTGTAGGATCACCTTAAATATATTTTGAGGGCTTGGAGTTTTTTTATAAATATGAAAATGGCAATAGCCTTTATCAGGAAGTTAAAGAAAGCCCTTTAAAAGTACATAAAATATTCAGGAAATGTCTAAAGCCTTCAAGAATCATCACTGGTATCTGTTGAGAACTACACTAGCATTATTAATTTTAAAAAATGGTAGGAAAAATATTCATGAATGCAGCAATAGCAAGCCAAGACAAACACAATGTTATATTTCTGCAGCTTCCGTATCTTGTTCAAAGCAATTTGTTTATCCAGGGTGTGTTTAAAGAGAAAAAAAAAAAAAAACCACCATTTTTTTCTAACTACCTAGCAGCTTACACAAAGGTGCAGTCTTTGGCAGAATAATAGTTAAATATTAGTCCAACTTCCTAGAATAAAGGCTATTTTTTTTTCATCACTTGCGCCAGTAATTACTCATTGTGATTGACTTTAAATGAAACTTTAAAGGGAATATGACTCAGGACTTGTTGAAGTTTCAACAACCTGCTCCAAATTCAGTAACATATTGATACCATTGCCTCTATCTTCAATAATTATATTTCAGTAAGAGTCTGTGGAGGTTTAGAGAGATGATCCAGATGTAGTAGCCCTCTTTCCAATGCTAATATAAGAGTTTATACCTCCTAGAACTTATTTTTTGTGTGGATGGATATTACTGAGCTACACAGCACTGATTAAAAAAAAAGTGCCCGATTCTTATTTTAGTACTCTATTACATCCATTGATCTTCACCAATATCTGAAAACTGCCGGCAGAAGTCACTTTTCCATAACTAATGACATTAAGTACACCTCACTGAACTGAAACAGAATGGCTGCTTACTGGATTATGCTTTGAGACCTCCAAATAAAAGTCCCCAGTAGCCACAG